AATGTGTTGTGTCTGAATTTTACTACTACACTACAGTAATTACAAGTATTTGTATTTATTTTTTGTTACTGCACTAATGCCACCAACACTAATTCCTTTATGTTCGTTGCATTTGGTAGTTAAAATGATTCCTCCATATCTGAATATTAAACTAAGTGCCCTAGTCAAGATATTATATGATGCAATGATAATACATTTTTCCTTTTCCCCCTGTTTTATCTCTGCAAGGTGTTTCCCTGCCTTCCTCCCAATGCATGCTGGGACGGCTTCCAGTCGACTTGTGAGCCTAATTAGAAATAAACATGTATGGAGAAAGAATACAGGAATGTTGCATGATACTTATATTATCCAATAATTGGGGATTACTGCATGGGCCACTTGAAATAGTCCCAGATAAGTAATAAAATGGCAGGGAAAAGTAAGTGCTTACCTGTGATTTTTACTTTCTGGCATGTTTTCTGTTTTTTTTACTGTCTTCTATTATATGATGGATTAAAGTCTAGTCATCCCAGTTAAAGCAAACAACTAGCTTACACTAACATTAAAAGCTATTTTCAAATGGATAGACTGTACTGATGTCTGGAAAAGAGATGTACATTAACATTACATGTAAAACACACAGCTGGTCTCCGCAGCCTCCTACACTGACTTCCTAGAAGCAGCAAAATAACAGTGACTAGGAATAGCATCCTATACAGACAGTCTGTCATTATAAAGTTGGCACACTCTCCTGCCTTCCTTGTACATCTTCTGCTAAAGCAAAATGCCTTGGAAGACGCCTAACTATCCACACACACAAACCACAAAATCATCACCTATGAAACCAAGGAAGACGAAAGAACTATCTTCTACTCACTACAGTATGACAACTTAAGTCTGCAGTGCTAACGCGGTCTTGTCTGAGAAAAGCTTTAACAAGTTTGCAGTTTGAGGGGATGTCATGGTTTAGAACCGTGGCCTCAGATGTGTTTATGTGTATCTTACTTTGATTTCTTTGACTTCTGCATGTTTTTTATTTTACAACCACAGTCTGGTTCTTATCTGTCCATGCAAATGATGCAATTTTGCATCCGTGGTTAAAGCCAGTGAGTGACTGAGAGTGATGGTGGTGATGGCTAGTATACAGTTACAATTTTCTGCCTTTCTGCAGTCTAAAACCTGTAAGAGACAGAGTTACACAGAGAACTATTGGAATCTCACACTTCACACTTCCCAGTCAAACAAATATATTTTAAAATCATCACTAAACTGAGCCTAAAGTTGTCACAGTGTTAGCTGTGCCTGTGTTACAGACTCAGCTGTACTGTTTGTTAATAGTAAATTGAACATTACTGATATGCTAACATGCCACTTTGAAAAAATAAAATTGTTTGCGATTAATTCAGTATCCCAGGCAGCCTGTCCACCCAGCTTGTGCTCCACCACCAATTAAGTAATCTTACGTTAAACATGGTTAAGTTTAGGGTTACGCTATGGTTGGAGTTTGTCAATCTTGAATGCAGAATATGATTAAGGTCTATCTGGAAGGTGCAGCTCCGGGCAAAAAAAGATGCTTCATCCAGCTGAAACACACCTGTGTGTGTGTCGGTTTGGTGCTATACAAGGTCTTTCTACATCAACTACACAATTACTACCCAAATTACATGGCTGAAAAGTAAATCTTATAGGTTTCTTTCTTCTTTAGTGTCATAATGATGATTGTTGAGAATTATGTGCAATGCATCTGGTGTGGATAAGGCATCTGACACTAGCAGGTACAACATTATGAAATGGACACATTACTGCAGACAACAAGGAATGTCTAAAAAAGAAGAAAGTATGTAGATCACTAGAGCCACACGGGCCAATGGGAAAATGATGACAAAGCAGAGGAAAATAAAAGGGACAAAGTTAAAGCTGCCAGACTGAGTCACGTGTGATCAGCAGAAGCCTGAAATACCACACACTTCCATACAGTCACAGGAATGAACTGTCAAAACCCTGCTCTGCCACTACACATAGGAGCTCTATTCACCAACACACACACACACACACACACACACACACACACAGGAGAGAGAGAGAGAGAGAGAGAGAGAGAGAGAGAGAGAGAGGGGTTAAGTTATGTTTAGCCAAGGCAGAGACAGACTACCCTTTGAGGAGCGCTCTGCTTTGAAATGAGGTTGAGGAACATCCATGTCAAGAAAATATTGCCCTCTGATTTTCTTCTCCTTTGAACAAAACTCAGCTTTCATGCCTTTCTAGGCCCACTGCTCTCTGGGTAATGACTGTACCTCATCCGTCCCTCCTCCTTTTTTCTAGTCTTCATTCTCCCAGGGAAGAGAGAATAAACATGAAAGATTCTGACCACTTTCTTCTCTAAATCGGTCTTTCACTGCTTGGGTGGGGCCCTGTTATAGTTTACACTAACATCTGCGCTGCTGCACCGCATTGCGCACATAGGAACGCGCAGCTATGCGCATATTATCCATTGTGAGAACTACTACACATGCACATGCGCGTAGGTGACCAGGCACGCGCTTACAGGTAAAAGGCGTGCTTATTTGCGTCACTGTGACATTATCACAGCGTCAGATGATTAAAAAAGTTTTTTCTACAAGCAAAGGAACACCTCCCTGCGCACAACGCCTCTATAGGCATCCTTTAAGATGAGAAATACAACCTGCCCGAGGTGTTGCACACAGAGGCACATTCACACTGATGGCATACATTTCCACACCCTGAACTGGGAAAAAACATCCATAGCTTACAGACACATATACACAAACAGAACTGTACAAAGCGCACATAGACACGGAGACACTGAATGCTTTCACTCCCAAGCCCCTGCGACCGAGGTGCTCCGCCGCATAATAACCTATTCATAAAAAGCAAAAATGTCTGAGGCTTCCGCCTCCAAAATACACACGGGAGACGAAGGGAAGGTGCAATCGCCTCTCGCAATCTGAAATTGGAAACGGGGCCAAAGAATACACTGGAGAAGGGCAATTTATGTTACAAAAGCCCCCTTGGTCCGTAAACTGTCGCCGCAAGTTATCCAAAGGAAGAATAAAGAGCCATTGATCCATCTGTCAACTGAAACGTCTAAACCAAATGAATTTGTCCAAAAACGTTTGAGTTAACTAAACCTGCTTTTTGTTTCTGTTCAAAATCTGACGTGTCTCAGCCAAAGGTCGCTGCTACTTTAAGAACAATAAATAAATAGCCAGAAGATCCAAATCTTATTCCAACCAGCTTCAGATCCATTGTAGTCGAACGAAAATGACAAGTTCATCAATTCAAAGGTTAATTGAAACCTCACAAAATATCATATTCAGACATCACAATTTCACCTCGCGTTGCTGCACTTAAAATAACTTTTATCTTTATTATTATTTTATTTCTTTTATTGATGTGCCACGTGCCATTCCGCATCAAAAGTCTTCAGTCACATCTGAACTGATCTGGACTCAGGTGAATCAATGGATTCTCTGTGTTAAAAATAACTCTAGACGACCAGTGGTCCGTGGGGGAACTGCAGCACATACAGATCATTCCTTTCAGGCGAACTAATCTATACCTTTGGAGAGTGAGGGGAGAGGAGGGGGCATACAACTTTACAAGAACGTTAAACCTGTAAATAAAACAGTACTGACAACTGTCGACTGTGGAAAATGTCCAAGATCTTCTAAACTCTAATATCTATATCAATAATTCTTCTCATTATGAATGTTCTTATCTTTGTTCTTAAAACCACAAATATAGCCTGTTGTTCTACGCAGGGAACTTTCCATAAGCTTATAATCGCATTTCACAAACTTGATGCAGAAATCCCTCCTCCCTGGGCAGGCAGAGGCAGTGATGGATGGACTGGTGCACAGGCTGAACTGGTAAACACCCAGCCAACCTCACAGTCCCTACTGGCAGCCTGTATCCACAGCCCAGTTTACTCACAGGCCGACATTCAGTTTCAATACAGAAAAATACAAGAACAAATATCACAAACGAGGCGTTTAAACGATAAACCTCCTCAAAAGCCACTGCAGTGGCTCTTTGCACCGTCCTACCCCATGCCCCCCTGCGGATGGGGGGCCTGCAGAAGTGCGTAAAATGGACAACACCCTGTCAAAACGGAATGGGATTCTTAGAAGTGAAATTAAGTTTACATTAAGATAAACAGGAAAAGTCAATATCAGGCAAATAGTTCCAAATGACTAAAATGCACCCGGGTGCCGGAAAACTGTGAGCTCAGCTGCTTGATGGGATGACACCTGTCAGCAGGCTGCGGGCAAGCCGAGAGAGGGAGACAACGGAGGAAACTGTGGTCAGAGAAGCAACAAAAAACTTATATTTGAAACATAATAACGCGATTGTAAGTTTTCCTGCAGCAAAAAACAAAAACAAAAAACGATTAAAATGATAGCCTGTAGCGTCTGTAACATCCATTATCGGACAGGGTATGTTGAGTCTGGTGAGATTTCAACTTCCCGATAAGAAAAAGTATATTTTTTAATATACAGAAATGGCATTGGTGTCATTATTATCGTTGTTTGTTTTAGGGGATGGACCTTTACAGACACAGCGCCTCAAATCGCCTAAAGTATCTTAGGTCCATTATCGGACACTCTGATTTCCCTCCCATCACTTATTCGTTTTTTCCAACTTCCTTTAGAACCAGGGAGCAAATGCAAGTCGCCTTGGGATACTTTATGAATTTGACTCAGTACAGAAAGCAGAGACAAACTTCAAAATATGTAAAAATATAAATGACTGGATACTGTGGGTTTATTGTTGTTGAAGCATTGTTGACCATGTTTCTTGGGTAAAATGTAAAGAAGCATGTCAGGTGCACAAGTGTCCAATACTGGATGAGGTTTATTACGCACGGTAATTCCAGTCAGACGGCGAAGAATGACCACGTTTGAAACGGAAAACCACTAAAAGTGTCAAAGTAATCTGACCAAGTCTAGTTTAAAAAGCAAAACAAACACCACAACTATTAATAAGAGAATCCATCTTACCTGCCCGAACCACGGTCGTTTGGCACACGGCGAGCGCCACGATTACCAAGGCGAAGGATGAGAAGTCCATGCGCCATGGTCTCCGTTTCTTCCGGAAGGCACAATCTCCAGTATCCATAGTGTTGCAGTAGTTTGCCAGCCTGGTTGTGCTGTAAATGCAGGATATGGTGGATGTTATCCTCTCACAGAAAGCCAGCCGACGAGAGGCACCCGACTGAACCCTCTGCGAGGCAAGAGACAAAAAGGCACGCCTCTGGAGACGTCTCTACCTCTCTCCCGGAGACTTTCCTTAATGAGTTACCTATGTCTGTCTATGTTAATGCACAAAACCTAAACACTAAAGGGGGTTTGGGGTGAATAAATATCTTTTATTTTAACGTTTAACCCCTTAGTGCTAAAGCCCCATTGAGTCAAACTGGGTACGAGTACCCAAAGTGGAGAGAGCAGCAGAGAGAGACCTGGAATCACGCTCTCTCTCACTTCTCTCTCTCTTTCCCTCTCCCCTTCTTTACTTACACACTTACTCCCACGAAGAGTGAGAGCGTGTGTGTATGTGTGTGTGTGTGTGTGGAGAGAGAGAGAGAGAAGAGAGAGAGAGAGAGAGAGAGAGAGAGAGAGAGAGTAAATGGCAAAGGGGAAGAGAGAGGGCGTGCGTAATTGCGCCCTAGGCGCACGTAGATCTACGTGTACGGAGAAGCGTCTGAGAGTGTGAATTGAACGTTTTTAATGATAGACCTATACAAATATTTCACCTCACACACACAACAATGGCGTCTTTCTTTTCAGCTGTGAGTTAGTGGTTTAATATTGCTCACTGGATTCATGGCAGCAGTGAAAACATTTTCTGTCACTGATTTTCTCTAAAAATCCCAATAACAACAAAACAGTGTATTTCTCTTTACCTTTTATTCTTCCTACTTTATTATTTTTGCATTTGTTGCATGAGAATTCTGGCTTTATAAACCATAAGAAACCTGCAGGTCAACGGGAGATAAGACAGCAGGACCACTCACCGCGCTGAGCCAGCACAGAAGACTGAGCGTCCGGACAGCCAATCAGACTTCTGTCCGCGCTCCTCACCACGCCCCTTTCACTCGACCCTTGGAGGGCTCCTCTGGTTCTGATTGGTCAGTCCCACGTGGCCTTGTTTTTTTGTTTTCATCAGCTCAGGTGCGCAGAGAGAGAGAGAGACAGATAGAGAGGAAGAGGGAGATGAAAGGCCTAAGAAAAACAGACATGAGTAAACATAATTTGTAAATCAGTGTGTAGTGTGTAATGAACTTGTGTTTGCCAAGTCAGCTTCTATCAGTCACCAACAACCACCTTTCAACCCATTAAGTCCAAAGCACCACTTGGGTTGAGATCAGACTGGCCAAGACCCTGCCCAGCTTGCAATACACCAGGAAATTATTACTTAGTTGCAAGAAATGATGATACATTTCAAGCTTATTTGATATTAGTGAACTGAAATAGAATAAAATAAATTAAAATACTGTATCTGTCTCAGAAATCTCCTATGGAAGCAGAAATCCTTTCTAGTTAAGAGATACTGCTTCTCAATTCAAAATTACCAATAACAAAATATTATAAGCAAAATAATATTTACTGTAAGGTTATTGTATTAATTTTTATTACTATATGTGCTTTTGTGATATCTGTAAGAGAATACATGAAAATCCAAAACAATATAAACACTACATTCTTTTCCAAATTTAGTGTCTATTTTCCACTGAGAAAATATCAAACATCTGGGACATAAACTTTAAACCAACTTTAGTAGTAATCTCAAAGAGACATTCCTTTCATAATTTCAAAGTTGCTTTTATATCCCTACCTGTCATAAACACCCATCAGCATCTTTTATATTTCAAAGCTACCCCCTGTCTGCCTTGTAAATGTTTCTGCACTCACACAGCCCATGGTTAGTCACTTTCTTTGAATGCAGACTCCACATCCAGAAAGCAGTAATTAACCATAATTATCCCTTGATGCTCTATACCACTCACTCTTTCTTACTACCCTTCATTTCTTCCCTATGTCTGTCTGATTTCTCTGAGGGGATAAGGAGCGGGATATGTTTGCATTCTGTGGTATTTCTATGATAACGGCCCTTACTATCATTCTTTGTAAGGGCTCAGCAGCAATACAAAAAATAAAAAATAAAAGCAAAAACAGTAAAAAGTTTAAGAAATCCCCAAAGATTTAGAAGTAATGAAAATGAATTTCCTAGTATCCCTTAGTTTTGATGAGGTAAGTAGTGTGGAGTTCAAATGACTTGACTAAGATTGGTGGAAAAACAGACTTGTACATGATCAGTTAAACTCAGTAATGTGCCTAATGGGTCTACATGCATAAGGTGGGTCATACAGTTAACTTATTTTGTAGAAATCAAATAAATAGTTTATTAGAACTCTTATAACTATTAAAGAACTAGACTAGTTCTTTTAATTTATATTTGACCTTTAAATTCTTTGTGTATGTGAAGGTATTTATGTTTTATGTTAGCCTGACACCATCCTATATACTATACTATACATCAAGGTATTATTATATATGCTTGTTGACAGGTTATAAGCACAACCTCATGGTGGAAAGCATAAACTTAAATAAAGATACTAAAAATCATTTAAAATGATCAAACTTATCATACCTATCTTGTATCTTACTTATTCTGAATACGCTGCAAGTCAGACCCACCAGGAGAAAAAGCAGAAGAAGGACCTCACTTACAGTGTAGATAAGAGGTAAACTATGGCAGCAGACTAAACACAAACTTGCTATAAGTATACATTAAAAACTAAACATTTGTGCCAGTGAAGCAATGCTGTCGTTGTTATTGAGTGTAGCAATGAGAAGGATAGTAAATGTCCTACAGGGGAGACTGGCTTTATCATTATAACCCATTATTGTAAATAAAAGTGAGAAAAATCCATCAGGTTGATAAAATTTGCATCAATGTGATAAAACAGTGGCAGGACAGGATAAATGCAGTTGCTTATATCAGTTTGATCGAGCAAATTCAGACCTGTGGACGCATCTTTATCAAGTTTCACAAGAACTTTCTTTAAAAAAAGGAAATACTTTATATTATTCACTAAACTGTTTAATCTTATTTTTGATAAATGAAGTCATCATTTAAAGTCAAACATATTCTATGGTTTCCTTAGCATTGGATATTTATCTTAAAGAGCTGCTTATTGTCTTATTAGTCAGACTGTCAGTGGTGACAATTAGTGTCTTCTGTTTTTGGCCTTAACTAGAAGGAAATCTTGTGTGAAACATTAAACGTTTGTAATTTGTTGCTGTAAATATTCTCAAATTTAAGGCTCAGCCCACTGATAGCTTAAATAATTTACACTGCTTGAACTACTGTATATACCAAAGACCTTGGTGTGGATACTCGCTAGGTTTCTGCTAGTGCCAACTACTTTTCTTTTACGCTGTGTGATGTTTTTGGACCCATGGGTTCATAAGATGCCTGGCGAAACTATCTTTTTCCCCAGAATACATGCCCACTGGACACTAAATTCCAGACAAACAGAAAAGGGACACGCTTAAAGTACGAGGGCCATGTTTTAGCTAAAATTCAGCGGTAATGGGTCTATGGGTTTGCGTTCAAAGCTGCCAAAATAAGAAAATTGTTCTGCCTTTTCATAAGAAACTACAGGGGTGAGCTTTGATGTATGTAGAATGAGAAGGAGCGGACCGCTGTGTGATCATTCTCTGAAACCATCAACTAGGCTCCTGCATCCAGCAATTATCCATCAGGAATCATAAGGAAAACCGTGCTAGGGCCATTTTTATACCTATATATTACAATATGGGAACCAAAAGGAAAGTATAGCATTTCATGTTCTCAAATGTAAAAGAAAAAACATAAAAAAAAATATTTGAGGAGGACAGAGGAGGTGAACTGAACAGCAAAAAACGCTGAAAGGTCAGAATAAAAAAAATAAGAAACCAGATACTGAATCATTTAATGCAATAAAGTACAATCAATATCAACCCCAAATTTATTACCTGAATGCCTAGTTTGGAGTTATTTTCCTCCTTTTGTACACACTGTAGCTTCACTGAGATGTAATTTTCACTGCAGGATTATTCATACTAAATCAGAAAATCCAGGAAACGCTCCCTCACTGCGGCAGCTCTGGGTTTTTATTTTGGCTTCCTGGACACAGTGGGTCGAGTGTTTTTGGGTAACAGACTGTTTGGTTCTGGCCTCCTTGTGCTCTGAAAGTAGATGCCACAAGTCGTAAAAAGAGACACCCCAAGAGACATCTGTGGTATGTGTTTGTGCTCGACTTTGCACATGTGTGTATGTACAATATTTATTCACTTAAACTTGAGGATTCATATTCAGGGATGGTAATCAACACTTTTGTTGCATCTATAGTTTGATCAGGGACAAGACAGAAAGTGGTGGTATGGCCAAAATGTCAAGGATCAATGATATTATAATCACTGCTTTAGTTCCTATAGACTGTGGTGGTATTGGTGTATCTGTGTGTGTGTGTGTGTGTGTGTGTGTGTGTGTGTGTGTGTGTGTATTTAGATTACATTCAGATCACATTAGACTTTTATCACATATCAATTAGATTCAGTTCTTTAATGACTATCTTTGTTAAATAAGATTTTCATTTAAAGGTAGGAATATAAATAAGTCCATATGTTTCAATGAAATCTTTTTCTTATTGCTTTCAAAAGTGTTTTTACCTAATATTTATTTTATCTTGTCATATTTCTTTAATTTATTGTATCCTACTTAATTGTATTTAACCTTGTTTTGTTTTTATCATATTTGGGTTTTTATTAAAGCCCCTTGTGTCTCATTGTGCTTTTGAAATATGATTTAATATTATTGTTAAATTTGGCCAGTTTCCTCTGCATAGACCAAGAGCAGGTGCAGTGAATCTTTGTGCTTCAAAGAGCTGTAGATGCTTCAAGAGAGAATGTTTTGGTGCCCAATTCTCATTAAGCCAACCGTAATATTGTCAAACCACTGAAGTGGTAGTTCCAAAGTGTGTCTACCCTTCAAGTCTCATTATTTTGGACCAGCTGTATCTGAGATATCACATTTGATTTACAAATATTGACCATAAGCACCTCACTTGGGAAACCAATGATGGAATCACTCGATAGGTTTTGGATACAAAATAATGCAATAAAAGTAAAATATGATCATACAGGTCAGATTTGAAAATAATGCCATTTTGGTATGATTCAATTACTTAATATGTAAAGAAGATATGAAATGTCTTATTCATCCATGTGCAGATATTTTACTTCTGTTTCTTTCTGCATAATCTCAGCATCATCTTTGCTCTCATCCACTCCTCATTCTTCTGACATCCAAACTAAGACTGTATGTGTGTCTTTATATGAAAGCAGGTTCACAAAAGTTGCTTTAGCAGGTGCCTACTTGCCTACTTACTCAATCTGATCCTGAGGCCTGCTTCTATCTGCTTTGATGTGACCCTGCAGGTGACGAGACTTGATGAAGATTCAGTCTAAAAGTGGATGT